AAAAAAACATTTATAATGAATTTTAATAATTTTTTCGGATTTTTTTCGATTCCCGATCCAAATCGCCGATTCACCTGTCCAAATCGATTTTTGAGGTGCCCGATCTGAGTCACCGATCTGCTTTTAAACCATTGGTCTAAGCAATAAGATTCTAAAAAAAATGAGGAAACATTTGCGCTTTCGATCCCATGAACACAAAATTCTCTTGTTATTTTTGTGGTAATTGGAATTTAAGGGCACCTTGTTACACGGGTGATTTGGTTAACACCCCTTTCTTTTTTGGAATGACAAATCCATCCATTATTGAAATTGTCCAAAGTTTTATTTTATTTGTTGGGATAGCTTCATACCGTTTCACTTTTTTTTAGTGAAAACTCCTATTTTGGGTACTTGGTTAGGGGTGGCAACTGGTCTGGTCGGGTCATACCCAGACTTGGACCCGGTCAAAAATTAAAATGTCTCATAAATTAAGAAATGTGGGACTTGGACCCAGACCCAACCCGCCATATCCAACTTTTTGACTCAAACCCAAACTCAAGTCGGATCTAGCAGTCAGGTCTGGGGTCGGGTCCGAGTCCTTTGCCACCCTAACTTAGATGGTCATTGGGAAATTTGGGGCATCCCAAATGCCAGTTTTAATATATGTAAATACAGTTAACAAATTGAGATTATCTTCACTAAAATGTTCGTACTTCTTATAAAACATGTTCACTTTTTAAGGGTGCTTATGTCATCTTTAATGATATATAGGTCATGTTCCGCTGATTTTTTTATAAAGAGAAATTTATCAAATTATTCATGAGAGATGAAGTATTTAACAATTTAACCATTTGGAACTAGTCGAACACAAGACGATATGTGTTTTATGGGTATTTTAAAATTAAATGAAAAAAAGTTAAATAGTTAATCCGTTATGAGAAATTTGATTTTATTTTGATTATTATTATTATGTAAGACGTGCCTCAAAAACCCTCAAAAAGATTATTCTGATGTTGTAAAATCTTTCAATTTATAATCTCGATCTCGAAATATATGGATATAAAAGCGAAAAAGTATTTCAAGTCTTTAAACTAGTTTCCTTTTGTAACACATTACTTGGACTATCATTTTTTTTTATTGTTCATTATATAGACCATCTAGTTTTATATTTTATAAATCTACTTGATCTACCCCATTTTTGGGGATTTAGATTTCATTATTAAAAATGGAAATAGATTCAGGTTATTATAGGAATTTCCATCATTGAAACTACATCTTTCAATGGTAATTGCAGGCGTGCCTTTAATTATTTGAGGATGATGTGATTTATAATCGGAATTGCATATTTGATACAAGGAGGTCACAATTATTATTGACAATTATATGAGAAATTGAGTGGATAGGGATGGGTCTTTGATTGGACATAAATCTGCAAATAAATTTTTATGAATATTGTCAGATACTTTAATATATAGGACTCGTCATCCAATAGTTAAAAATGATTGTTATTTTCTTGTATTAAAAATAATTGGGCATACAATTCCCTATAAACCACACCAGAATGACCGTGATATTTTCGAAAAACAGGTATCCTTGTACTATTTTTGAAACGTGAACACGCTTGCAGCAACCCAATTAAAGGACTGTTGGAAATACACAGTTAAGGCTTCTATCTAATGTTAACCGCACTAGAATGACCGTGATATTTTAGGGCAATTCATAAAAAGGGTGTGGTTAGCTTAGGCTCTAAACGATCAAATTAGACCCTACCTTCAAATAGTATAGTGAAATGTAGTTTCAATATTGGAAATCTTTTTTATAGCCTTAAAATATATTTCTATTTTTGTTTATAAAGTTTAAAGCTTAAAAAATAGTGTACATTGAGAGATATATGAAAACTTGAAAATCTTGAAAATTGATAGTCCCAAAATGCACTCCGAAATACATTATTTCCAAAATTTAAAATCCATTTTTTTCTCATGTCCTTGCATCTTGATGTCGAGATGATCAATTTGAAGATATTTGGACATCAAAACAACCTCTTGTAGTAAATTTTTTGAGGTAGAATCTAATTTGATTGTTTAGAGCCTCAGCTCTATATAAACTTTTCCCTTATAAAAAATACGAACAATTTAACTTATCCATTTTATCTGATTTAATTTCAATGTATCCCTCAAAATACAAAACAAATAAATTCGGAATAGTTGTAAATGTGTGAAATGTTAATAATGAATCTCTCATACGTATTTTGTTAAATAGCCTTTCATTGTAAATAGAAAAAATTTCGTATAGATATCTAATTCCTCATATTATTTCATGGTAGACCCTCCTTCCGTTTCAAACATGATAAAAAACCCTTAAATATTTCACCATATTCCATCATCTCTTATCTGTCTCTTTTATTAACTTTCAACCATAAAAATTAGCTTCAACAAATCTTTTTATACCATTTCATCTTAAAAACTTTTTAACTATCTTTTTCTCTTTCTACTCATTAAAAAAGTTGAGTTAAAATAATATAAAAGATTTATTGAGGCTACGCAAAGTCAATAACTATGGAGGCACTTAAGAAAATATATAATAAAATAAATTTTAAAAAATAAATTGACCAAATCTCCTCGTCAATATTTCTTGGTGCTGTTTTGGCCAAATTGTTTTTTACAAATTATACTTTATAATTTTTTAGATGCGACCGAGTTGGATACAAACAAGTTCAAAATTTCATGTCCATACAACTAGAAGAAAAACTAAAACTCAAATACCATATTAAATCAAAGTTTTCACCAAGGTTTCGACATAGAAGAAGTTTCAAGAGTAAATTGAGTCATGGTTTTCTGTAAGAAATTTCTCTAAAACGAAGTTTTAAATCTTTTGGTGAAATATGTGAGAGCAAGGTCCTTAAAGGGTGAGATTGATCAGTTATTATAAGGCCAAAGAACTGGAAATGAAAAGGTTCAGATAAGAGGTGGAGAGGCTTGCATCCACAGGTCGCTCCGAACGCACTGAAACGAGAAATGCCATCCGTGAGGTATGAATTTATCTGGCGTTTTCCATTGCACTAAAAACATTCTAGTTATTTTTATGAGAGAGCAAGAAGGATTGGATTACTGAACTTCTCAGGAGAAAGAGAGAGAGAGGGAGAGAGAGAGATGCTACAATCCCAAGTTCACATTAGTACAGTCCTTTTTCTTAGCTACAGTCAACCTTCAAGGATCTAAAAGGCAGCAATGGAATTCTGTATGATACCGAGATAGTGTTTGAGGAAAGCTGGAAGGCCCAATTGTTGGCAACCAAGGAGAACTTGGCGAAGAATTTGACCTCCAATTACCAGCTAAGAAACCAGTTACCGAAACAAAGGCAAGAGGCAAGAGGCAAGAGGCAGAGATAGACAGCTTACAGGCAGAAAGCAGGTAGCTGGAAGAGGCAAGAGATAGACAGCTTACAGGCAGAAAGCAGGTAGCTGGAAGAGGCAATGTATAATGCGAGGGAAAAGAGAGGGAAAAGTGGTGTTTAGAATTTCATAAAGAGAGCTTACAAGTTGAAAGCAAGGAGCTAGAAGAGGCAATGTATGAAGAACGGGAAAGGAAGGGGACAATTGTGTTTCGAATTTCAGTAAGAGAGCTCATAAAGCAATCTATGCAACTGTTCACCTCTTGTTTTTGGGACCAAAATACATGTACCCGACTGTAATAGCTAACTAAGAACAGTCTTTGATGATGGTGACTCTTTCTCTTTCCCTCTCTTGGTCATTAAGGACTCTCATTGCACAATCTGCAAGTTATATAATTTTCTTTTGTCATTGTATACAATAAGACCATTTACCTTTAATATAAAATCTCTATTACCTATAACATTGACGTGAAATCTAATAACTTACGCGTCACAAAATTCAAAAAAAAAAATTTGATGTTTGATTTTGATCAATAGAATAAATGTAGTTAACCAATTTCACATCCAATAATTAAAATTAATTGTGATCATCTTGTATCAAATATAAATGGACTCATTGTATACTCCCTCTATTCTTTTACATAGTTTATAGGGTCGACATTTGGGAACTTTCAGGCAAATTTTGGTAGCAATTCTGCCTAAAACAGCCATAAGAAAAACAATACAAAAAGACTTCTACATACAGCCACAAGAAAAACAATACAAAAAGAAAATGAAAATGTACAATAGTTAACATTGTTTATATCGTGCAGGTTGCTTGGACAATCTAATGTTAACTGTTTATATCCTACGGGTTGCTTGGACAATCTAATGTTAACAACAGACGGCTGCGGTGCATTTCAACAAATTTTGAACCAAGGGAAACCTCCCCATCCTTCCACTTGATGACGATGACGTCAAATAGTTGAGGAACCCGAGTATTCAAATAGTACATCCCCTCAAAAATCAATTTAAATTTTTAAAATCTGAAGGAAACTGAAAAAAGGTGTCCCTCCAACAAATTTGTTATAAACAAAAGTTCCCAAGGAGTAGAAAATTTACTGGGGCAGCTGCATTCTCCCATAATGGTCTCCAAGAGAACTAGAACAATTCTCTCAGAAATTGAAAAGGGTGCAGTTTGTATAAGGTGTCAACTATGTACTAATAAGGTTGTAATGCTATATACCGTTTATTTTAGTTGGATAATGTAGATTTCACACATTTTTTAAGATAGTGTCAAAAATACATCGTCCAAATAAGATGAATGCTTTTTCCTACAATTTATTTCTACAAAGGTTGCTACTTTATATAAATATTTCCCAATTGAAAAGCAAAATTATCAATCGTGCTACCATCAATTAAACTATAATCCAGCTACTCAATGAACAAAAATGAGAAATGAGAGGAATGTCGGACATGTATTAGGCTCTAAAATACAAACAATGTATACTAAATTCATTCTCATATATGATACTGGGAACAAATTGGTTAGAGTGTGGCAATATGTAGTGAGAAATGCAGGGAAATAAGCGTGTCACCGAACAATCCTCACCTCTTAAACAAAAAGAAAAGCCTGAAACTGTAGAAATATGTAAATATTTTATATGAACACCACTTTGAGCATTTTCCTTAGTAGCTAGGAAGAAGTGGGAATGGTACCAGTGGTTTTTCCCAGCACGTGGTGCAAACTTACAAGCATAAAATTACCGCAAATTAGGCAAAACAAATAGGCCTTTGTTTTGTGAGAATCCTGATGATGCTGCATCTGCAATCAATGGCACATGGCCATGCAATGGCCGGGTCCAACCTGAACCCCATGCTTGTGGCTCTGTGTCTGTTCTCACTCCAATGTCCTGCTCATTATCATACATGCAAATGAAATCAAAAACCACATAATGTTGCATAAGACTCACTAAAATACATTATAAATTCATAATATGGTATGAAGAATGTAACTTTTTTTTTCTTTTTTTGTTCCTTTTCTTTTTGTCTAACACTCGGATTGAGGTTCTAGCATTCATGAGCTACCACAATTATCTGTCACAAATTAATTTTTTAGTAGGGGTAATATTAATCATTTACCAAGGGTAAAACAGAAAACAATTCAACTGTAGGGGCATGTGTAACGTAGACGGCATATAATGCGTGTTACTCTCTCATGACACGTTTTTTTCCCATTGGTAAATGAAAGAAAATACCCCACCCTCACAATGATTTGCATCAGCTGGTGGGACATTTACATTTGAAAATCCTTGTAGAGGTCCACAAATTTTGTGTCAAGCCATGAATGTTAGCACCTCCAAAAATTAAAACGTATGCATAGAAAGAAAAGGAAAGAATGAAAATTGTATCTGGAGGAAATGATAAGAGGACGTAAGAAGACGCATACCTGAGATGCAGAATAGAGAAAGCCTGGCTGTTCGGTGTTCCTGTCACTGTCCTTTGGAGCACTTGAGGGGGATATACCCAGGCTGAGGTCCAAGTTATCAGCGCCTCCTGATGCATAACAACGGAACTTCACATGCACAGTTTTTCTCTCTTGCAATTTCAGAAAAGAACAAGAAAATAAAAAGGGGAGTACTAAATATGTTTATCAAATTTCACAAACCCAAAAAGCGTGTGATGGTCAACCATCTCATGTTTTCTTGGTAAAGTGAACAAATGTGCTCTCTCTAAAATAACTAGGACTCCAAGGGTAGCTATAATGCAAGAGAAACTAACAAATTACGGGTTTGAGTCAATAGGTACTAGCTATAGTAGTACCTTATTTTATTTTATTTTATTTTATTGTGGTGGATGGATAGCTAGAACGTGGAAGAACCTAAATTCACTTTCGAAGTAATCACAAATGAGAGTGGACATTGGTGAAAACAACATGGAAAAAACATCAAAGATAAATTGAACCATATAAAAAAAGGTTGAATTGATTGTACTTCTTCCCAGAAATTGATTAACAGCTCGACAAGTAATTTCTTTATGGGGGGCTATTGGCAAGACATAAGATACTTGCTGGGAACCACCAAGAGCATCAGGATTTCAATTTTCAAAATATATGCTCAATTTTCAAAATATATGCTCCTGTGCAAGTAAGAAAGAGTCCAAAGCTGAAGTGGTATATGAAAGAAAAGGGCACATAGGAATATTAAGATAGAGATGCAAACAGGTCAAGTTGACCATGACCTGGACTCGGCAGAGTCCTGGCTTGACGTGCTCCCAACCCAGATAGGTCCCTGCTGTATCTGGACCTGGTCAGGTCCAGGTCTGTTGGACCAAGACCTAACCCACGGGTAGATCTCCAGCTTTCAGGCCTGAACTGGGGCCGAGTAGACCTGACCTGTTTTGCAGCCCTACTTAGCTTAACAGATCCTTAAATGGAAAGAAGAGTCAAAGGATGGATATGTTACAAAAGAAGAGGGTTCCTATACAGGGTACTTGACCTCAACTTTGATGTAGCTTAGAAGGATAAAGCAGGTTTTTGTTTAGATCAGGGATGGACAAACTTCAAGAAAGATTGTGGAGATGGATTTTGCTGAAGCTAAGGCCAACATTGACCAATTTGGTTGAACCAGATGCCATACGGCCTGGCTAGACCCCAAACCAGAACATAAAGCATCAAATAAAAAAATGGGAAGAAACAAGAGTCTAGGTCCCAACTCCCAACATCAGCCAGTTCATTCAGCCTATTTGAGCAAAACCACCCTTTTACATATTTTGTACAAGCAAAGAGCCAAGGGAAAGAAATTAGTACAATAAGAACCCATTCTTCCTACACAGTGAAGGTAAATATCAACACATGTAAAAGAGTCATCTGTTAGGAAAGGGGCTGGGGTTGTGGTAGCACCCCCACACCAAGACACGACATTGTGGTTTCCATTTCTATCAATAACACCACGTCACTAATACTTTCAAAATCTAATTCCTAATCTACTTAAAAAAATGGGTAGGGCCCTGTCTTCCCCACTGAATTACCCAAAAAAAAAAATAATCATTTGTTCGGTGACTTTGGTCTTCATAGTGAAAGTAAACTTTGAAAACACACTCCTTTTCTTTGAACTTAACAGCACGTCACTTCTATTTGAAACTCTTAAGGAGAACATATCCTCTATTGACATGACACGCAGTTCCATAAGTGGTAGGACTTAAGTAAACAAAGACTCGACCATGGTTAACTAGAACGCATTCTAGCATCCATAAAATGACAAAAAGCACATCTGATGGTTCAGAACACAGAATGGAGATATTCCACAATTCGACATCCAATAAAAAGGCACACGAACTAAAACTTTCAACTACCAGGCAAGTTCCACACCAATTCAGCACCCACTAGAATTTACATAACATCACTTGAGACTCCCCCTGCTTTCTGGACTTATGAATTAGAAAAAATGCTTTCAAGGGTATCAAACAGTTTTGGGGACTGATTGAGTATGGAGAGGCCTGCAAGGCTTTGAAGTTCCTTTGGAGTCTCAGTCACTGGAGGGAGAAGACTTGGGATATCATGAAATCTATAGAAAATACCTTATTACCCTGTAAAATGGAGGCTAATCAAAAGTTAAATCTATAACATGATGAGGCATTAGTTCTGGGCACTCAAAACTAATCAGAAATGCAATCCTAAACATGTTGTTTATCCATATTTGTAAATAAAGGATTTCCATTCTTTTCAAACAATAAGCTACCAATTAAGTGTCCACTTTTTCAAGAAAAACCTCCAGCAATAATAAAAAAACCAGGTATCAAGGCTCATGTATATACAGCCTATTGGCAAACTTTCAACAGAAAGATACCGATAAAGAAGAGAAGAGTGTACCTCCACCTGCTCCATCCCCATCTCCAATTATTTCTCCCTCATACAAACTAAGCTCGAAATTAGTGATAGCCTCCCTTCCATTGTACCTGATCGCTGCCTTATCATATGCCCTGTACTCATCAACACGCAGCAGGCCAATGTACAAACTTTAAATGATGAAAAAATAAAATAAATCAAGCTCTTTAACACATACATAATGTGGACTTCATTTTGTTACCTTGCAGCTTCGACTTCAGTGTCAAACAAACCGAGATAGATGTACCTACAAAAGAGAAAAAAGGGGGAATGTCAGCCAGTTGTAATCTTAAAGCCAAATAAAAAACACATGATCAGACAAACAAGCGATAAATGAATTTTCAAATAATAGTAGTTCTAAAAACTGCGGATCATTGCTTCCAAGATCATCAGAAAAGTTCAGACATTCTATAGAGACGATCCAAATGACATTACAAAATTAAATTCAAATTCATTGAAACATCCCATTTAGAGCTCAATATACAGATGCCCTAAATAAGTGAGATTGGGCCCTAGATTCCCTTACTTTTTACCAAGGTATTGCCCCATACGGGCTTCCCAACGCCCACATTTGTGAAGTGTCACACCTCTATATTTGGAGCTCCCTCTCGAGAAACCAGTGCTTTGGCGACGGAGAATGTGGACAAATTCTTCCTTTGTTAAATTTCTCATCTGTAATAGTCAAAGAAGTACAACAATTTGTTACCAAACATATGATTTAATTACATATAATTAAATTAAGCATCAAACTTAGGTAAAACAGAAGAAACCTGCTTGAGATCTTCTTCATAGTCAGCAAGGCTGAAATTGATATCGGCGTCCACTCCTCTGAACTTGATTGCAGCTCGATCATAGGCCCTGAAAACTCACAATATGTATGGTAAATTAACTCGAAACATTTAAGCTCAGAAGACAAAAACTAGAAAGAAGTAACAAATTTGGATATTTAGAAAATACCTGGCAGCAGCATGTGCAGTGTCAAACCCTCCTAAAACGCGAAAAGGAGTAAATCAATAAAAACTCTTTATTTCAATGGCATCTATTGTAAAAAACTTTATGAGAAGAGAATGAGACATCGAAGACCAAACAGAGAATTTGAGAAAGAATGGTGTCTCAGTTACTTCCACATAAAAAAAGAGCACCTTAGTTATTTTGGATAATGAGAGAATTTGCATCATTAACACCAGAACAGGGTGTTTATGTGTAACTTCAGGCAATCAATTCTCCTGTGATTATCATATTAAAAGCCTTCTGTGATTATTATATTAAAAGCATTAATTGGAGAATTTTGTGCATTTTAAAAAGATGTTGCAAGAGTGACTCAGGAAATGTGAACAAACCTCCAGTTGGTGAAGTTTGCATAATCTAAAAAGATTTTACATGAAAATAGAGGGAACATGTGGACAATCATCGAGGAACATGTTAACAGCCCTCTAAATAATTTCTAGAAAGGGAAAAATCATCCCAATCCCATCTATATTGCCCAAATGTGCACAACTTCCAAATGTGGCCATCATGTCCCTAACTTAAAATTTTATGAATGCTCCAATTTGAAAATCATAAAATGTTCAAGAACTGCTCAAGACATCCAGGATTTCCCAGCCCTCTGTTGCTGTTTATCTAAACGTGCTAACATAGAACGAGTGAAACTGAAAAAAGATTTCCATAACAATATATGGATAGAACTTTGTTTCAGGAATAATTTGAAGATAGAACTTCACCAAACAACTATCAAAACCTTAAAACCACGAGCCTCAAGGATACACGGATCATTTTCAGAAAGGTGCAGCACACTCACTGAGTTCATGTACGACATATTTCAAGAAAAAAGAGAGGCTTTTTAATTGCATGCCCTATTAGTAACTGCAAACAAGAACTAGATCGAATTCCAAGAATCCTAGAAATAACTGAAGAATGTAAATGCATATACTTAAAAACTACAGGAAAGACTACTACCATTAAAACAAGATGGTCAAATAACGGAACCAAATTTCATTTTCTGGAAAAACAGAAGTTACCAATTAAATACGAAGTAGGAAAACCTGACGTGTCAGCCATTTTGCTTGAACTGTCAGCAGATTTCCACTTGGTAACAGTAGGGTGTAAGAGTGCCAATAAATTTTCATAAAAGACATAGGGGTTTGCCAGGTGAGATATAGAGGCAGCTCCTTCTAAAAGCCACTATGAAATCCTCAATTATCAATAATCCAGTTCTAAACAGTCACTGAAACATTACAATCAACATATTAAAAAAAAAAAAGTCACAGAAACATTGCTCTGCCTTCAAGCAATATAATAAAGGGATGGCATCCTCTAATTCTGCAAAGACAATCCCATCAATTTAGAAAATTAACTGCTCAATAGAACTGCAATATAGACTTCAAAAAAGGGTCATCAAAGCCAAAACCCTAGTATTAGTATAAAAATATTTTTCAAATAAGTAAATGGTGCTATGCAAGTTATAAAATATGAAAAACTGTTCATTCGGGCCAAAACGTGAGAGAGAGAGAGAGAGAAAGATCAATTAATGTCACGGAGAAGGCATAAACAAACATATGGAAATAGGAAAATGAGAATCAAAATACCTAGGTAGACTTGCTTCCCACAGTCCCTGCACAGTAAGAAGCTACATAAATCAATAATTGGGATTAAGGAATCCCAAACCAATATTTCTACAAAAATAGGTAAAATTGAGACCATGGACCATGATAGATTGAACTATGAAACACGTAAATGACTTTGTAAGATGAAGTAGTTGTTCGCAAAGCTTTGTGAATGAACATAGCAGAGTTTTTACAGACCAAACATTCCATGAAATTCAGTCAAAAGTTAAACCCAAACCCAAACCCAAACCCACAAAAATATGTTAAATTCATAGAAGGAACCAAAGGCTAAGGAGATGATTCCCTGATAGATTAAATTATACATGTCAGGTAAACATTAACTATCATTGTCTTTTGTATGTTGTTTCTCTTGTATTTAATTGGGTTGCAAATCAAATCACACACTTTTTACAGCCATATCCGAGAGAGTTTCCAATGGAGAGATCCTCTCTGATCTGAGCTCCAAACTAGTTAAAATATGAAAATCATTAAAGATTGCAAGGCCAGTGGAAGACCAATCTGAAGAAGAAAAGTCGATCTTTATAGATCGGTTTCCTCCTCAGATTGCTAGCAGCGCTAACTGATTTTCTATGCCAAAAACACTTCCAAAGCTACTAGAATGGATCTAAAGATGAACTGAAAATAACGAAAAAGAAAAACAACGAACTCACCTAACATGGCCAGTTGGCTCGGGACACCCAAACCCGGAATCGGGGACCGTATCAGGCCCGTGGGTTGCCTACTCATTCAACTTGCAAATTGACTTAAATTTATCTAACAAAGATTCAATTTCAATATGGGGTTTTCTAGGGTTTAATGGCCTTGATCTAGGGTTAGGGTTTAAGCTCCAAGGTTTCTAGGGTAGGAGGCCTAGGCTTGGGAGTAAGGTTTAGGTTTTTCCTAAACTAGAGTTTGCTGGAATTATAGTTTTCTCTCTATGAAAATTGGGTTGGCTAGGGTTTCTAAGGGTTTTTTCTCTCCTAAATCTGTTTCTCTCTCCAAATGGTCGATTTTCAGTTCTTTTGTAGGCCTCCAAAAAGATTTCTAGATGGTTTTGATGCTTATCCATCATGTTTAGCTCAAATTTTTGGTAAAAAATGGTCAAAACCAATAGACAACAGGATTCGCGTCGTCCAGAATTTTTTGGATGCCACAAACCGTGTCATCTTGACCAAGATGGAATTTCTGCTAAACAAATGTTGTTCATGCCATATCTTTCAAACCGTGGATCAAATTTAGGTGATTCTTGAACTGTTGGAAAGCTCTTGATCTCCTCTTTAATTTAGAATAAACAACAGCCTAGTGTGGGTAAAATTTGAGGGGTCTAGAGGTCTAGGACTTTTGGGTGTCATTTCGAGGTCTAAGGGTGTCGAATCGGTGTCTGAATTGGTTCTCTATGTTTATTAAGCTCAAGATTATCTAGGATGACTATTTGGGATATTGGGTAAGCTTAAAATTTGGGTTTTCAAGTCCAAAAAGGTGACTAAGGTCTACTAGGCTATTGGAGTCCCTTGGGTTCAAATATGCTGTTTTCAGTAGGGTTGTTTTGGTCCCTAGGGCTCAAGAACTTAGGAAAAGTTGCCAATTTCAAAATTGGGTGTCTACACACAGACACACACCAAGGACACAGGTGTTAGTCGAGGGCACACTATGTAAATCTAGGAAGCATGGAGGTATCAGATCAATGAGTAAAAGATAATAGGTGTAGTTATGAAGGCACAATGTGGAAACATGTGGTTTGTAAAAGTGAGTTGGTGGAGGAGGATATGGATGTAATGAGGTGGGTTCAGAAATAAGGGATCTGAGTACACCACATATATTCGAGTGGGCATGGAAAGCATTTAGCTGGCCTAGTTAACACTAGTGACTCTATCAAGAAGATTATATTTAGAGTCATTTACGGCAGTCAGACAAACATTTGGATTGGCGCAGGCTTCTTTTCCATGGAGAACTGGCAGGTCAGCCAGTCAGTGGAATCAAATGCTTGGGTGAAGGAGAACAGTTTTGACTTGTCATCGTTGTTTTTCAATACCCATTAGAGGGAACCTGGGGGGAGGAAGTCAAGTCAGTTGATAAGGCATCTCACTAACCTAAAGGATATCTTCATCATACAAGTAAGCATTCATGGACAGGGGGGTCTTGTGCGGTCATGGAAGAACATTTGTGAGGTTACAGTCAAGTCATTCTTTAAAGCACAGCATGGGGTTTCATACCATAATATCATCGGCCACATTCTAATCTACGGATTATTAATCGCTGACTGGTTCCCACTTGGGTATGGTTAACAAAATTAACAAAATCATGACAGGGAACTATCAATGAGTCTAAAATCTAATTTGCGAACTGCTATTCCCAGATTATTGTCTCATGTTGCGAAGCGAAGGACACCACACACCATATTCTTTAATGCTTAATGGGGAAGCATGAAATATTCGTCGCATTCTACAGTATTTGAGTTTCATATAACCTGACAATGGATAACATGAACATATCTGCATGAAAGTAGGTTTCTCAACTTGAAGACCAGCAGTTATTAAAAAGAATAGTGAAAGAAGGTCCAATTACAAAAGAGGAGGGAACCTAAGACTTGAAAAAGCAATAAAGTCAAAGAAATCCAAACTTCAGGAAATATGTAACTTCTCCTCATGAAAGCTATGTACAGATGGTACTCAAAGAGTTATTGTACATTGAGCATCGATTAGGAAGACATCCAATTTTTCCATCTTTACCCTCATTTCTAAAAACTCAACGGTATGTTGATGCAAACCGAGATGGGAGGTTGGATGACAGGTAAGTCCACTACTGGATAATGCATGCTCCCTGGAGATTGCTAATCGCTCTGGAATAATAAGAACAAACATCATGTCTAGAGCTATCACCACAGGAATATCAAGCAAAGACCACAGCTGAATGCAAAATAGCATGGATCAAAAAACTGGTAACTAATCCCACTGCTTACCCACCCAAATGCATAAGAACACACTGGTAACTAGACATGTGGTTCCTCCAATTGAATCACCATGTCAATAATCATGTCTTTTCCAAGCACTTCAAGTATATTGAGACTAACTGACATTTTATTGGGAAAAAAATTACAACACCAAGCACCTGAACACTTCATATTATTCTAACTGGAATCAAATAGCAAGGAAAATAATCAGAACTCCAAGTTCTAGCAGACAACATCAAGTTGTTGCTTTGTGGCCATTCATCTCATGATAAATGGCAACAAATGAATCAAACATTCCCATGTGAAATCTACCCAACTGATACAATCCTAAACCCTTCAAAAGCATTGCAAGCTATGGAGCTGGATAGGGCCATGCTATAGAGAAGAAACAATTCCATACATACGGTTAATTTTCCTCACATAACTAATTCTACTAACAGGCAGTAGACTGATAACAGAAAGTGCTTTTGTTTCACACATTTAAAGGACCCTAGAGAAACACAAAATACCAAAAAGCTTAAGGGAGTTAAATACAAAACATATGAAAAAATATATCTGAATATGAAAGGAAGTTAAATGTGGAGCCATATATGGCATGTCATTAGATCAGTAACTTTAAACACTTGCCCACTCCATATCAAATAAGTCATGCAAGGAAGTATGTTAACAACATAGGGCATGATTCAAGATCCTATGATGACTTTTCCAACAATAGATCAGCTCACATATAAAAGAATTCATCAGTGGTGGAATAAGCTCAAAAATGGCTAAGCAAATAATACTTCATAAAGGAGATCTCAACAAAAATAGAGTTAAAAATGCACAACAATACGCAGTACCCCATCCAATAAATAACAAACAAATGAAGTACTACCACCAATCAATCTTTAGTTCGTTAAATTAAGAAAAAGAAACAAAGGCTGATGAACGAGTACTTACCAGATATGTGACTCCCATCGCCCAGTCCTCCTGTAAAAGGTCACTCCACGATATTGAGAACTTCTTGACCGAGGACCACGCCTACTCTTCTTCACCACCTGGTTCAAATCCTTAACCACAGTCCCACCAAAAGCAGCAACATCTAGCCATTGGATGCTTGACCAAGATGAAGAAGGTGAAGACCCAGAACCCACAGTCCCAGTAGCAAACTCGGGAAAAAGCTGCCTGGTCACAACCATGCCCTCTGCTTCTTGATTGCAGCTTCCATTACTGGATGTAGCTTCAGAAGCCGAATTCACAACAGATGAATTAGAGGTTCCAGAGTCTTCCATATTATCCTTGGCCACTGTTACAGGAGCAAAGAGTTGCAGAGTAGGCCGCTCGTTCAAATCCCACATCACTTAAAGGCGAAGAGAATTGCACCTAATTGAAGAGAATAAACCAATGGGTCTCACGCTTTCCTCAGTTACAATTAACATATAATTAAAGGACAACATAAATTGAACATGGAGAATGGGGTTCCCGATTTCTTGTTAGAGCCGCCCCAAGAAGATCGCAAAAACTGGATTGGATCTCAAGCCAATGTTAAATCATTTTGCCATATAGGTGGGAATAATGTACGAATGATACAAAACGCCAAAAACTAAAACTTTTGGTAGATAAAGCACTCTATTTCCACTTGTGGCAAAAGTCCAGAACTTACCGAACTAGACAGAAGGGGAAAGAATCTTGTCTTGGGGACTTCCAAAAATTTCAATTGAACATCAAACTTTATGGCTTCAGGTTTAAAGACACTCCAAAAGCACACATTTCAGAAATCAAGCACTAAGAACAACCCGCAATGGAATCAAGGTATAGAAAAGTACTCCATCATCGGAGTAGATTTTTTTATTCCTCTGCTGCTTAAACTCCCAGTCAAAATCATATCAGGAAACCTTAATCCTGGATAAAATCAAACCCGGACAGAGTAAAATCCTTGCAACTTTACCAGACCCTAGAAGCAATCTTCACCAGTGATTTTTGAAAGGGGAAAATAATAAAGGTTCACTCTATTAAAGGAGGAGCCACAACTCAGCAATAACCACAAGAGAATCAAAGCTAAAGCTGAACAGGTTTCCTACTTTCCCCAACTTTGTAGAAGAAAGCCGTATTTGCATTGAAGACCTTTACACACCAAAGAAAGAAAGCTCGCAAGGCAAAAACCTTTGAAGCATCAAAGAATCCAGCATCCACAGTTGTATTAGAAAAGAAGTGTGATCGAGCGTATTTCACTTCTTTTTTCTTTTAAGCAATCCCGAGAATTTTCACCGTTTTCTCCAAGAAATCCTAGGGAAACCTTGCCAAGACTTTGTGCAATATTTAGCAAGTCTCGACAAGATAAACTGACCTTCTTTCAGCCTTTGAAAGAAACCACGCGAAAGAAAATCGAACTCTAACCGTATCAGAAGAATTTTGCAGTAAAGTGACATCCACTGGAATCAAGTTTAGAGCAAAACTTCACTGGCATTTGTTTCCGAAGCAAATTGTCGGAAATTATTTTGAACTCTTGTCAAAAATCTTTAGGGAGTAGAGTTTTCAATTATTTCAGGAAAATCACCAGAAAATGGTTCGATCTTTAACAGAATAAGGGTCTAAAAAGCAGAGTAAGACACTTTTGATATTTTGTGAGCCAAAATATCAGAGAGAAGCTTAATGCTTGAGGTAAACTGTAAAGGACCAACCTTTTGAGCATCAAGTTAAGTAGTAGCCGTCAGAAAACACGATCTTTAATCAAATTAGGGTTGAAAGCGTGGAGGCTCAGCACTTTCGTTCTGTTCTGAAAAAATGACAGGCAAGAAGCTCGATCTTTAGTCTCCGTCAATCGTGGATGAGACTTTCGAACACAAAGTCGCCCTTACATAACAACGTTATTTCCACATTCCGCCTGTAACGCAGTAGAACCTGGAAAAGGAGCTCGATCATTAGCGAAAGCATACGCCTCCTTCACACCTGCAACTCCTCGCCAAAAGAGGTTGCCAAGACCATCTTCAGTACCCGAGACTCAACGCGAAACCCACAAAAGAACCACCAAAGACATCAGTAAATGAACAACTCTTAGCCCTGCAACCAAAGTACACCAGATTGCCTGAAAAGAAGCTCGATCTTAAATGGCAGCTCGATCCTCAACGACACCTCAACAAAGAAGCCCGATCTTTAACATAACTCCAGTAAATCCATGGCAGTACAACGAATCGCGGCCAAATGAGCTCGATCTTTAATGGCGCACCTGCAACTCGCCATAGACTTCAGTCACAGAACCGGCGCAACAGGAGCACAACATCGGAGAACCGAAAAGCAAGAACCTGCGAAACCTGCAACTTTTTACGCTGGAACCCAGCCGATGAAGAGAGAGGGAGAAGAGAGAGAAAAGCTCGAGCTTCAAAGCCAGGCTCGTCAGAGAGAAGAGAGAGAGTGAAGCACGAAAAAGCAAATCCTGTATCTGAAGAAAGAACCGACAATCTCCGTGAAAAAGGAGCTCTCGAGCTTTAACCAGAAGGAACTGTAAGGAAATGGCAGAGAGAACAAGCTCGACCTTTAATGGAGGAGCGGAGAAACACAGTGGAAACAAGCTCGGGCTTTAACCATCAAGCTAAGAATCACAGTCAAAAGCGGCATTGCATCTTTAAGGAAAAACCCAGAACATAAACAATCGACTGAGCTTCAAGAAATCAACAAAAAAGGCAAAGGCGAAGACGACAAAAACGCCCCTGCTTTTTACGAAAATGACGGTAGAGGACATGATCTTTTCACCAAACATTTGAAATGCCTCCGATTTTAGCGCGATATATCTTATATGCCCTCAGGAGTTTTTAACGTTGGCAACGTACGAGGACGGCCAAACCCCAGGCATTATGGAAATGTCCGAACGCCACCATCTCATTTTCAAATACCTGTATTTTTTAAATGACCAGTTTACCCTTTGGCCATTTTCCTAGGATTATTGTTTGTTAATACTGCGCATATGACAATACGAGAAACCCAAAAATAAAGCATATTAGAGAAGAGGAAATAACAATAAAGTTGATAAAGAAATGCGAAATTAACATGGAAACTACTTGAATTATGAAATAAATTTGTCAGCTATTTGAAAAAGAGAGGGTGAGGATCGCTATGTTATTCCCTCGAGATGAGAATGTGTCGGATAGGGACCATTATGGACCTATCTCACGTTTGGGTATATAAATAAAATTATAAAAAAATTATAATGTATATCTTATATGAAAAGTATATGAATTGACCATTTATTTTTAATACAAGGAGGTCACAATCATTTTTGTCGATCAAATTTCAAATTAGGTAGTTGTGAATGTATTATTGACTATCCTTAAAATTCCAAAAAAAATATTTCCTACACATTGTATATACTCTAAGCTATCCAATTGGACATCTAATAGCTATGAACAATTATAGCTTCTTATAACAAATAAATGGTCTCTTAGTATATCCCTGATTTATATTATACAGTTGATATTATTATTATTATTAATATCCCTATGTTTTTTTAAAAAAGCAATTATTATGAATTTCATTCACCAATAAGAATTACAAAGAGGTTCATGAAAAAAGTGATGTAACCACTAACACGTGTTGGTGCACCCTACCCTTCGCTAAAGCATCAACTTCTATATTAGCCCCCCTAAAACAATGAGATAACTCAAAATAACCACCACTTAAAATGAAAACAATTTCATAAAAATGCTGCATAATCTCCAATGTGGCTTCATTCCTCTTTTCGCCTAACAATGACATTGCTTGAATCACCTTCTATCACCTTTTGGCCATCAAGATTCTTTATTATACTTAAACCTTCCAAAATAACTCTTATCTCTGCTTTGTTCATTGTTGTATGTCTACATAGTCCCGAGTAAGTGAATTTGTAATTACCTATATGATCTCTAATAGTACCGCCATAACCTGTTGGGCATGGGTTCCCAAGCTAGCTTTCATCAAAAGTTGAGTTTTAAGCCATATGAGGAGGCATTGAAATAGCATTTCAAACTTGTTTGCCATTATTAAGCTTAGTAACTTTTGATGTGTTCAAAAAAATCTGTGATTTTGAGATAAACTTACAATCCATATTTATTAACAAATCATTCATCTATTATTACTAAGGCATTGGACTTCATCCTTATCCCAACTATTTGAGGTCGACTCTATAAATCTTATTCCGCCATACTCATTTATCAAGGGTCATATCCTCAATCAAACAATAAGTTATCATATATCTTTCAGCTACAATATTTTTTGGGCCTTTCCATTGCCCTTTTATACCTCCTAATTGAATCAAATAGTTTTTTCTAAATGGTGTTGTAGTAGCTCTACATTGTACATGTTCAACCCATTTAAGCCTACTTTATCTTATTTTATCGTTTATTGAAGCCACTTTTAAATTCCATAGCATGTATTAATTCTAAATTATTCATATTATTAATGTATATTTATGGTACTATATGCAAGGTTAGGTTAGGTTGGCTTGTCCCTAACCCAAATCCAGACTTGGCCCAACTCGACAATATCCCGGCCGAACCCAGCTCAACCTGTCAAGATCTGAGCTAGACTCGACCCAACTCCAGAAAGGTCAAATGGACCCAAACCCAACTCCTCGGGTCCAAAGTCTAGGTCCAAACCCTGACCGAATAGGGCTGACCCATCGGAGCCATGAGTTGACCCAACCCACTTCTGGCCTCTTTAATTTTCCCATAATTTAGTCCAATGTTTGTTGAAAAAGAGATTTATCAAACTACTCGTAAAAAAGAAATTATTAAATATTTTAGTATTGCATGTAATGATTAGATGGATATTTTGAAACCAAATTTAAAATATAGATAAAAATTTTAAATAATCCATATTTTATACTTAATTTTGATGAACTACTATTTAAAAATGTTGATCTTTATCAAAATCACCCAAACAGGATCAGATTCAGCTGGTTGGCAATCAAGGCTTTGGCCCCAGAAATATTTCAGGAATCTTTTCCGATCCTTTGATTCTCACTTCGGTACAAACTAGCCAAACCGTACACGTGTCAAGGGCAAAATCGCCACATGTAAAATGAGGGTGTTTTAGACATTGAGATCGACGACACTATTTTCCTTCGTATTCAACAAAAAAAAGGAAAAGATATTGCCATTTTTGGCATCCACTCAAATAAAGTACATGGTGGCCCCCTAATAATTCCTCTCTCGGAAGGTCCCAGGGCATTCTTGTCATTAACAATAAATCTCATGCCCATTTTTGTCATTTTCCAGATATTCTCAAATAAAAAATAAAGAAAAGAGAGGTGGAATAATAAAACCAGTGCTCAAACTTGAAGGTCTTGTCGGCAAGGAAGCGGCCCCGTCCTTTTCTGAAACACCTACGAAGAGACTTCGACCACCCAAAGGGCGCCACGTGGCGAGACGGGAACGGCCGATTCTCTAGCACTTTTCCTCCCAAGAATCAGACAGGAACAAAAGCGTAGGGTGAGATATCCTTATGCTTCCCATAAATAAATAATAAATCAAAAACTGTTTTTTTCTTTTTTATTAATCTTTCCGAAAATAGCCCTAAATAAAGTGGAATTGAATGCCCTTGACCTAGAAGCTTTCCCAGAAGGGAAAGGACCTCGTCGCACATGCAGAGTTGGTGGGGCACGTATGAAATGGACGGTTGGATTTCGGGGTTCTGGTTTCTGGGTTGAAGATGGACGGATGGGCTACTGTTTTGTTGGGGGACTATGTGATCTTAGCCGTCCATTGAGTACGGATATGGGTCGTAATCGTGTTAAAGAATTTGTTGTAAATTAACGATAAGAAGGTGAAAAAACCTTTTCTTGTTTCCACATTTGGGCGTGCTCATAATGATGGCAATTATTATGAGAATTTGGATCTAACCACCGCGGGGAATGCCTTGTTAATGCTTGACCTTACATAAGTTCAAATTATCGGATATGTCCCTCGAATTTTTATCTCTATCCTTTGGAAACCTGGTCAAGTGTCATTTTCCTTAATCAAAATTAACGGCACAACCCTACTCATGCCAACTAATGCACTCGAGAACACCAACTACTTTTATTCAAATTAAAAAAGAGTGTGTTCTATGCTCCGACGGGAGCATCGTGTGTATGTATACTTCATCAGGTTAAACACCTATTTGGGAATTTTGAAAACTACCTAGGAATCACTACATGATTATTATCAAAAGAATAAAATATTGAATTTTAGGTTTTCTAACACTTAAGATCTCCTCTCAAAATGGAATTGCCTCTATTCAATATTGGGACTTTTTTTTTTTTTTTTTTTCAGGTGCATAAATTGTGCAATTAGGATTTTTTTTATTGAGTTTAGTATTTTTTTTTTTATTGAGCTTAATTAGGGTTGAAGATATTAAATCCCCAAAATTGGGGACCTAAAGTTAATCCTACATGTATTTTTACCCGAGGGATTAAATGAACATTATAATATTCCCTCAAAACGAAAACACTAACTATAGTGCATTTATATGTTATATGTGATTGGTAGGAAGTAACTAAACTGACCAATCCACCTAACTGACTACTATGATTTGGCAAGTTGGTTGTACTCCACGTAAGCAATGTACTACTAGTGTTTATTACATGGTACACCAAATTAATTAACCAAAAATTATATATGGTACACCATATGAAGAGTGCACAATAATATATGAAGAAAGATCTATGTGCCTTCAAAAAAAATGGGGCGCATAGAACAACGAATGTTCGGCGAGGAACCATTGAAGTCCACGAAAATAGTACATTTAGGTGACGATTTCAACAACTACTCAACGTTTGTACCACATGAAACACAATAATATTAGTAGTGTATATTATTTGATAAAAAAACAAAAGGAAGGCATGGAATTTCCTACGTAATTCTGTACTAAAAAACTTGCAATTTTGGCTTTCAAGGAGGATTCTGGCTCATATTTCTTCCTCTTGTTAAAGGTGAGGTTTTTTTTTTTTTTTCGGGTAATTCGACTGATGGAGCACTTGTGCGCAGACACTTTGCTAGTGATGGCACATCCTGCACCGTTGATTCTGATTTGACCCACACAATGGTGGTGGTTGTGCTGTAGATTAACTCTTTACTATTGCTAATTTACCTTGAATTGATATATAATGCAATTTTCAAACTTTTTGGTGGGATTTGAGCACCTGATAATCATTTGTAATTATGTACCATAATAAAATCAATGAGAGAACAAGCATACTCAAAAGACTAAATAAAAAAAAGAGTCACATAAATAATAACACCTATACAAAAGAGTTTTAAGTAGAACTGAAGCAATCAAGTTCTCAATTCTCATGACTATTAATCATGTTAGACTAAGCTTGTACGAGTTCCACATCGGACTCTTTTTTTTTTTTGACAAAGGGTACTTACTTTTTTATTCACTAATAAACTTGGAGCTATACAAAGTTTAAAACAAAACAAAAGAACTCTTGAAGAGTCTAATCGCATCCCCGTCTTAGCAAGATCATCGGCTACCACATTGGACTCTCTCTGTCCATTTCAACCATTTTCATGAGATGGGTACTATTTATTGAAAAAGTTATTCATGCATAAGGGGATCTAAATCTACAATTGCGTCCCCTAAAATAGATATTAAGTGGAGGTCCCTTTGAAAACGAAAAACAAAATCAGTACAAATTTT